CCGAAATTCTTGCAATCTTCATTCGTCAAAGACTTAAATGGATGTAAAGTGTCTGTTGATGTTATTGAATAAATTGATGAACTAAGAGCGGTTTGTTATTGGCATTATTTGGAAAATACTCAACAGTTGGCATAAAAGCAATAAAACGAAAAAACGATTCAGCAAAATTTTATTTTATATATTTAAGAATTATTTAAAAAATAACGGAAAAAATAATCTAAAAATATTCATCGATTTTTTTTTGTTTCTAATGTGGTGTTTTCGGACGGTTTTTAAGATATTTTGCAATTCGTGGTTATTTTTCAACTTGAGCACGATTTTGTTTGAATCATGGATGATTATTTAAACAATTTTCATCTATACTAAGAAGAGTTTCTAATATATCATAGGAGAATAAATCAACCCATGTTAATTGATTACCAACAAAGAATGAACTACCGTTACTATATAATTTACGTAAAATATTGAGATTTTGTAAATGTTTTGGTACTTATTCATCAAAGAATTTTTTCATAAGTTCTTGTTTTTTGCTTTTATCTTTTTCGAAACGAAGTCGAAGAAATTTTCGTAATAAATCATTAATTGTATCAGCAACAGCATCGACTTTAGCTTGTTCAAAATAATCTCTACCAGCCAAATTAAATTGTTTAGCAAGAAAACGAGCAATAGCTAATGATTGTGGTAATTTTATACCTTCATATTCTACAACAAGCATTTGACTTAAGAGCATTTCAGCTTTATGTGACGGCTATTCAGAACCTTCATAACGAATATCGTCATATTGTTGACCAGCTATAGCAAATATTAAACGGGAAACTTCAGCACGACCACGTCCATTAAAAAAATAAAATATATATTTCGACATAAATGTTCGGTAAGTATTCATTTGACTATGAAAGAAAGAAGAAAGAGAACGGAGTATTTATATGAAATAAACGAAGGTATCACATATGTATGTGTCCGGATATTTTTTTTCTACCACGTTATCATTGCACGACTAACTAGAGAAGAGAAGAAGAAGAAAAGAAATAACAATGATGATGTAAATTTCTTCTCAATGAAAATCACGCCATCTTTTATACCTAAAAGAGATGTGTGTTTTATTACAATATGCGATGAACTTTAAATCCAAAAGTGTTATAATATGAGTCATGTATTTGTGATATTTCTGTCTTTCTTTCCTTTTCTTATATGTCGTATAGATGACATGTATGACATACATATTTTATTGTTTTCTTTTTTCTTTATATCAAATCCCCTATTCACAAAAACAAACGGCGACATAAATAAAAATCACGTATTGATATG